TATTTATATTTTAGTTTAATGTTTTTTTTGAAAGGTTGTGATTGAGTGAGAATAAAGAGACAAATTTTTGTACGAGTTTTAGTTGTCTTTTATGGATATAAAAGACATATTTGAAATTAGAGATGTTCGTTTAATCGGTGAAAACTTGTTTCGAATGAGATAAAGAATGGAGAGAGAGAGAGTAACGGGAGGTTTGTCTTGATAATTAAATCGGTCGAGGATAGATATTATATTCTTTGTCTCTGTCTTCACTCCGTGTCTTCACTCCTATCCAAATCACTGTCTGATCCACTTCTCCCTGACTCACATTTTATATATAAAAGGCGGGACGAGGTGGGAGGTAAGTTTATTGTCTATTGAAATGATTATTGGTACATTATCCACGTAACTATATTCGAACATATGTTAGAATCATCAAATCATGTCTAAAACCGATCCGGGCTAAAATGCCCTAAAATGTATCATTGAGGATGTGATTAGTTGATGTTAAGGATATTTAGTATTAAATTATAGTTTACTATATATATTATATTTGATATTTTATTATACGCACATGTCTAGATATTTGCATTCTTGCTATATAAGTATCTTTCCATTTATTATTATTTCCCTTTCTTTGTAATTTATTGGATTATAAACAGAGAACTTTCACATGCTATTTATATTTAGGTGCGATGGATTAACAAATATTATCAGTTGATAATTCTATTTAAGTCGTGATGTTTTTTCTTTGCTTATAGCCATATAACAACGTAGCTTTCATTAATTCTTTCAAATTGTTTTCTAATGTATTTTCTCGTACACGTTTTCTAAAACATTTCTCACAAACGTGACTCGAGGTTCGAGCATACGCTTATGTTAACCGCGAAATTCAAATTTCTTATAGTTGACTTGTTTGTTGGGTTAAAACAAGTGTTGCACAATCGTTGTCCCGTACTGCAAGAGTGCAAATATAACGCTTAGTTTCATTTAGATAACAAAGAGAAATCTTTCTCGGTTCTATCGACTATTTGAAAGAGGTTAAATGAGACACTAACAAACAAACCACCAACTTATTTCAAAAGGCTAAGCTACTTCTCTCTCATTTATTCATCTTGAGAGTGTTTGTGTTGACTTGTCTACTCATTTATGGTTCGTGTTGGCTTGTCAATGCATCATACATACCACCAACCATTGGTACCATTACGATCGTTCCCTGCATTGAGAGGCCTTTGCTGTAGCTCCCATGGCATGTCACTCAAACGGATAGTTCTCTATCATTTGTACTCCTTACTTCATTTCGTATTATTTCTTATATCATATAACAATCAAATAAACGAAGTGGGCTCTCAACTTAAGTTCGTAATAAATGAAATGGACCTAGGATAACTTTAAAGCTAAGTTCGCAACTAAGGTAAAAGACGGTGAGATCCCATATTAGATGAAGAGGGGAACGAAACATTCTTTATAATGGTATGAAAACCTCTCCTAAATAAACGCGTTTTAAAATCGTGAGTCCGATGACGGTATGTAACGGACCAAAACAAACAATATCGATAGCAGTGGATTTGGACTCTTACAAAAACGATTCTGTAAAATCCATCTCAAATCAACCCGTATTAGATATTTGAGAGAATGATTGTGACATTTAGGTGGAAGGTAGATTTATACAACGTTCATATATTATTATGTGTATCAATAACATAAACTCACCTTCTCAATTCTAAAATATACCAACCTATTCTCCGACGTCGAGTCTTATTTTGGATCGTCTCGAGTTTTCTTATCATTTTTTGACATCTATTAAAGAAATTGTGTAGGTGTTGGTGAGGATATGGTAGAAAGAGATGGTTTCATTTGGACAATTTGGTCTTCACTAACTCCCATTTTCTTAGCTAAACCCTCTGCCTCAAAGAATCTCTTTACAGCCTCCCTTATATATTCCTACCTTCTTTCACAGTCATATCATTTCCCAAGGGTTCAGGGTAACTACTGAAGATATACTCTCCTTTCCACGCTATAGCCAACTGCATCAGCTCCTGCTGAAACTCGGTGAGCATGGCTGATTTGTTCGCCGGGCTGTTCCTGATGTTCACTGGCGCTGGGAGTTGTTCTACATCGAAATTGATAGATAGATTTGTAAGTTTAAATAGATCATAAAAAATGATACGTCCGGTTTGGTTTATAGTAAGATTGATGTTTTGGACTCACCGGGACAGTCGGTTCTCGGGGAGGTGGGGTTTGGGACGATGAACTTGAAGGATCTGACCCACTTGTCCCTCTTAGTGAGGAAGGGAGATGGGAGGTTGAAGATCTTCTCGACGGTGGCAGGAAGGAGTGTTCGTAGTCATAAAACATGTTGTTAACCTCTCAACCCTTAGCCCATATTTTCATAAACCCAAATATTGTAACCCTCCATGTCTAGGGTTTGGAATCCAGATACAATATATGATAGTTCCGACATTACTCCGTATCTTCGGTTATATGGTCATGTTACATATTCCTCACCTCTTAAGATTTAAAACTTTCCCCATAAACCAACACAACTTCTTCTACCATGTTTTATCTCGTTCACGTGCATCTTAAGAAAATTTTCAAAAGGCATCCCAACATAAAATTTGTAACAGCTTAAGCACTGCTAGTAGATATTGTCCTCTTTAGGTTTTCCCTTTCGGGATTTCTCTCAAGGTTTTTAAAACGCATTTGCTAGGGAAAGATTTTCACACCCTAATAAAGAATGTTTCGTTTCTTCTCTCTCATCGATGTGAGATCTCACAATCAAACAATATCGGCAAGTGGTGGGCTTGAATTGTTACAAATGGTATCAGAGCCAAACATCGGGTAGTGTGCCAGCGAGGACGCTGAGACCCAAGCGGGTGAATCGTGAGATCCCACATTGGTTGGAGAGGGGAACAAAACATTCTTTATAACGGTGTTAAACCTCTCCCTAGCAACGCATTTTAAAAACCTCAAGGGAAAGCCCAAAAAGAAAAGCTCAAAGAAGACGATATCTGCTAGCGGTGGGCTTGGATTTGGGACCGAAAAAAAATAATCCTATGATCGTTATCGTCCTTTACTCCATTGTCACAATTTTCCCTCTTTAGACCTAAATCTATTTTTTTCTAACTTACATTTTCCCTACCCTTCAATTTTCCTATTGTACCCTTCAATTTTCCTATTGTATATCTATACTATTGGAGATGTACAAACAAAAATATAGAGTTATAGATACGACAATAAAAGAAATTGAATATTATAAGATTTATCGAAAAAAAAAAAAAAAAAAGAGGAACTAACAAATTTCTAAATTTCAAACATACAATGAATGTCTTCCGTCATTTTCAAATTTGAAAAGAGATTTTATATCTAAATAAAAACAATAACATTTTCAAACGAAATAAAATCGAGTTTGTTTGTTGTTTGCTTGTAGCACCGTTTTACAATTAAAGCAACATGTCTCCAAAAATGAAACCCATGACGCCCCCGATTGCACTATTGACTTTACCTGAGGTGTACCGGACCTCATTCTTGAGCCAACTACTATGATATAATGTGAACCGAGAGTCTAGACAGTTCACTATTAGAGGTCAACATGAGGTGGACTAACTTCATTCTTGAGCAAACTACTATGATACAATGTGAACCCATGAGTCTAGATAGTTCACTATTAGAGGTCAACAGGCGACTTCCTAGTAGGCCCGACATAGTATTCTAATAAAATGGCACATGATAAGCGTCAACAATTACTAGATTTGCAAAGCTAGAGGTCCTTCTAAGATCCTTGCAAACGTTCACAAATAAAACTTAGGATGCGACGGTGTAGTTGAACCAACTACTGAGATACCCCTCTCAATTTAGACCATTCACTACCCGAGGTTAGTTGGTGATCCTCTAAAAGTACTCACATAGTAACCTGATAACATAAATACGAGGGAAGGGAAGCCACTCTTAGTTTCAACCAATATTCAGATACATATTAGGACTCTATCAATCTACGCAACTCACTACTAGAGGCTAGTTGGCATCCCTTTCATAATCTTTACATATATGATAATACCAGCTACTAACATATGTAAGCTTTATCAAATCTCATCAAACTCAAATATCAAACATTCACACGATGCAATATGTCACAACGCGTCACTAACATTGATAACAAACGTCAAAGATTCTTAATCTTCATTATAATCTTAAAAGTAAGGTAGGGTGAATTGTGTTGTAACTCTATTTTCGACCAACTGAAATGGCCCAAGCTCACCGCTAGTAGATACTATTCTCTTTGGGATCTTTTGGGCTTCCCCTTAAGGATTTATAATGGGTTTGCTAGTGAGAGGTTTCACAAACTTATAAACAAAGTTTCGTTTCTCTCTCCAACCGATGCGGATCTCACAATCCACCCCCCTTCAGGGCCCAACATCCTTGTTGCACTTGTTCCCTTCAACAATCGATTTGAAACCCCAAATCCACAACCCTTCGGGGTCCAACATCCTTGTTGGCACACTGTTGTGTGTCCACCTACTTCGGGACTCAGCCTCTTCACTGACACATCGCCTGATGTCGGGCTCTAATACCATTTGTAACGGCCCAAGCCCACCACTAGTCGATATTGTCCTCTTTGGGCTTCCCCTTCCAGACTTCTTAAAAAGTGTATGCTAGAGAGAGGTTCCACGCCCTTATAAAGAATGTTTCGTTCCTCTCTCGTACCAATGTACGACCTCACATTAAGGCAAACCAAAAATAAATCTAACCCAACCCAATTTTATAGCTTGGGTTGGGTAGTCCAAGCGTGTCTGGTTCTCGAGTCATATGAAGAACCATCCAAATCACTTGCCTCTCTCGACCTTAGGGATGAAAATCATTTATGTATAATAATCTATATTGTAAGTTGAGTGAATTCACATACGAAACATAAACTCACTTTCTCCTTTCTAAATACATGAACTTATACTGTGACACAAACACCTCGTAAAGAGCTACATGACTCTGTCCCTACACGACTATTCTATTACGTCAGATTTTATTTGTATCATTTTTGACATCTATTATTATTAAGGCAATTGTGTAGGTGTTGGTGAGGATCTTGTAGAAAGAGATGGTTTCATTTGGAGAATTTGGTCTTCATCAACTCCCATTTCCTTAGCTAAACGCCCTGCCTCGAAGAATCTCTTTACGGCCTCCCTTATATACTCCCTACCTTCCTTCACAGTCATATCCTTTCCAAAGGTTTCTGGGTAACTACTGAGGATATGCTCTCCTTTCAAAACTGCAGCCAGCTGCATGAGCTCTTGCTGAAACTCAGAAAGCTTGGCTGATTCGTTCGCGAGGCTGTCCCTGATTTTCACCGGCGTTGGAAGTTGTTCTATATCGAAATTGATAGATAGATAGATAGATTTGTAAGTTCAAATAGATCATAAAAAATGAGACGTTCGGTTTGATGTTTTGGACTCACCGGGACAGTCGGTTCTCGGGGAGGTGAGGTTTTGGACGATGAAGTCGAAGGATCCGGCCCACTCATCCCTCTTGGTGAGGAAGGGAGATGGGAGGTTGAAGATGTTCTTGACGGTGGCGGGAATGGAGGAGTGTTCATACTCAGATGTTGGAGAGGGTGATCCATTAGGGCCATGAACAACTGCATCACAAAAATTGAATTCTGAGCTGTTTAGCAATTTGTTGCAATTTCCTTACTCTTTAGGTAAATATCACACACATATTTTTTTATTCTTTTATTTATATAATCTTCCACCCTTCATGTTTCCATCACTCTCTTTGACACATGGAGGAGCAGTGGAAAGGATACGTACCGATGCCCTTCTCTATCCACGGCGAGATCATGATGGTAGGAACTCGAACTCCAAGCCGATCAAAATTGAAAAGAAATGGCTCCTGTCCGACGATTCCGTCGGGGCTAGGGACGTTGACCGGCGTCGGAACGTGGTCGTAGTATCCGCCGTGCTCGTCGTAGGTGATGATGAATAGAGTTTCATTCCACTGCGGCGATGCTCTGAGCGTCTCGTAAACCTCCTTCACGAACATCTGTCCTTGGTACACATCGTGCGATGGATGATCATCGTTCCCCGGCTCCAGCGGCAGATCAAAGTACCGTGGCTCCAACACCACGTAGTTCGGCAATTTCCCCTCACTTGCGTCCCGCTTGAACTGACCAAACAGGTGAAATTTGTTCAGGTATTTCAGTTTCCGTAGATTCCGGTAGAACATCGTGGACGGAACGTTCTGGTAGTAGATTCCGAAGGACAATCCGGCATCATAGACATTCTCGAAAATCGTTCGCTGTGGATAGCCTTTGGCAAGGAGTGATGCAACATTGCTGGTGGCTCCAGCAGAGGTCCCTGAGTGAACGTAGAGCCGATTTGGCTGCGTCGAAGCCGGTACAGACGCGAACCACCTGTAAAATACATTCCAATTTTCGTTTATAATCAAACTAATCAACTAATAACCAAAATTTCCAAATCCTTCAAATTCAGAACACACAACTACCAATCTACAACCTAAAAAGAAATTACAACAAAATCACCTGTCGAAAACCGCAAACTCAGAGACGAGAGCTTTATAAACGGCCACCTTATCGGGCTGAAATCCATTCATCACATCGGCAGACATAGCTGAGGTATTATCCATGGAGAAAGCCTGCTGAGCGAAACCGTTCATGGGCGGGGGATTTGCAGAGGTATCATTGGAGCCGAAAATCTGCTCTCGAATGGCTTGAAAGGAGTGGCCAGGGTCAGGGTCGACATAGTGAGCCTGGTCCTTAAAGAAGAACTGTTGAGATTTCGGATCAGCGGCGTTGAGGAAGTTGGATTCAGAGCCATCGACGCCATTGATTTCAGGGTTGAGTTTCTTCATCCAGCCAAGCATGTGATCGAAGGAGCGATTCTCCATGACAAGAACGACAATAGTCTTGATGGGCGAGGCATGGAGGAGGGGAGTGTGGAAGGCCAATAGGAAGAGGAGGAAGAAGGCAGTGGATTTGGCAGCCATTGAAGCGGTGGGAATAGTTCTTCCCATCTACAGAGAGAAAGGGAATGGATTAATGGCGACATGAAGATTGAATGTTGGTGTCTTATATACACAACAGATGGCTATGTGGGCCAATTTGGAAGTGTCACGATACGTACTTGACTTAAATTACTTTCTATGACTAAAGACTATTTAGTTTTTTCGGGTTAATTTATTGCTTAAGGTAGGTTTTACTTTGATGCTCGATTTTCCAGGGCCAAAAAGGGAAATGAATTTGATATTTTTACGTTGTTTAAGGTAAGTAGTGGAGAAGATTCTTTAAGCTCTGACTTCAATATTAATTATGATGGATAAGAACGAAAAGCAGAGCATGATATGTTAATTGCTATATAGGTATTCTAGGATTTTGCTCGAGGATGAGATATTATAGCTTGATATGTGGACTGCTATGTAGGGCTAAGTTTTTTGTTTAAGCTCGTCTGTATGAATAACTAGGAATGAATTGTTATAGCATGTTTGGTAAGATTACTATGCAAAAGTAAGAATGTGTTGTCACTGTGTATGATGTGCATAGATTGTTCGGGTCCATATTGTATCACTGTAGCTGGTACTATCGGGTTACATTGTGGAGACTAATATAAGGTTATTGTAACAACCCGACTTTCTAGACCTAGACTAACCAAAACCGTTTAAAACTATTGGAAGCACAAAATGCAAAATAAAACATCTCCAAAATTTATTATGAGCCCACTAAAATTTCAATCGTACCTAAAATAACAACATAGTGATCCCGGTTTTCCAGTATTTAGATTGACAAAATTCGTGTATAGTCCCCTAATTAGAAACATGAGGGGAACTGACTCCATTCCTAGGTCAACTATTATGATGCAATGTGAACCCGTCAATATGCTTCGATAAAAAAGCACAAATGCCCGATAAAATAAATAAAATAAAAATGTAAAAAACTTACCTTTAAAACTAAAAATTAGATTTAATTCATGCATAATATTTATATTTTATAATTTTTTTTTTTTTTTTTTTTTTTTTTTTTTTTTTTTTTTTT